GGCCCCCACCCCTTCAATTCCGGGACCCCCCTAGTTCAATTGGCTGGCTCCGCCCCTGTCTATGACAACTCTTTTTTTCTTGCTACGTCATGTTTGTGGAACAAATCCTCAAGTTGTCTCGTGTGTGATGAGAAAGTGGCTATTTTGTTACACTTAGGTGATATTCACTCTTAAACTCACTTATGAACCCGATGTGGAGTTTTCATGGATGATTCCTTATTAAAAAGTAATCGTTGCATGTGAAAAACGAATTCGATAAACTATATAAAATAAAAATATTCCTTATTCTTTTCGAATCATGGGCCTAATTAGTTAAGAGAGAATAGTGTAGCAGTGATTGATGTGATACAAATCATCCATGATGCTTAAGTATAACGTATAAAGTAAGTAAGTATCAAATTTTTATTTAAATTTGCGTTGTTTATAAGTGACAATAATTTGTATTCATTAAAACGTTTAACATGCCAAATCCTCAAATGAATTTTCCAACATAGAGAAATGGTGGTGGGTTATTTTGTTGAGTCGAGAAACTAATATTTTCATGGTTTGTAACGTTGCAATATGTGCGTTTGTGCGTGTGTATGTGCGTGTTTTTTTTTTTTTTTTGTGATTATGCCTATTGAAAGCAACCTTTTAACAAAGTTATTCTTGCTTTTCTTGCGCTTAAATCAAGGTGAAAAGAGAACATAAAATCAAGAGGGAATCTTGAACTTTTTGTTTGTTGTTGTGAGTGTTAACATAATAATATTTTGAAGTCTTAAAATTTTTAATATCGCTTCATTTGGTACACTAAGAGGGTGTTTGGTGGAGATTAAAATTAGATTTTTACTGAATTGTGATAAAAGTTTTTGAAATGTGTGGTTGAAAAGATGTGGAATCCACGAAAGATGTAATTAATATTGATTGTTTGACTTTAACTTAAATTAAAATCAAATTTTAATCCGATCCAAACAGACCCTAAATGTGCTGATGATAAGAATAATTGGAAAATAATTTTTCCCTTTCCCAATTTCTACCTTAGGAAGCTGTTTTCCTTAAATTTGGTTTTGTTTTTTAATTATACCCCGGTGTTTTTCATGTGACATTTCATTCAAAACAGGAGGGTGGAATACAAGTAATGACAAAGAATAGATGTGGTGACACATTGAAGCCGCGTTATAGTGGCATGTGTTTTGTCTACATTAAGAATGATGAAAAAAATTTAATTAATCCCTTGAACCTAATAAGGATCTCTTCAAAGGTTGCTTTTAAATGTATTCGGATAATATTTTGAAAGTGTTTTGTCTGATTAGAAGAATTTTTAGATGTAGCCCACTTAATGTAACTTTCTCGGATAAACCATCTACAAGAAGTAAAAGTAAAAGCAAAAAAACCAAACGATCCCTAAGTCTTGCAATATTCATCGAAGATCAAGTTATGCATGATCGAGAGTACTTTATAAATCTCACTAAAGTGCTTTAGTTTACGTTTCATATCACCGTTTAGCATAATCTAAGCAACTATGCTAAATAAATTAAAGATAAATCATTTCTAATAAACGAAATACACACCTAATTTTGAATTAAGCTGCAAGTACAGGGCCCTGCCAGGTGACTCACATGAGGTGGGTCCTGTGCAGGACCCACCTCATTAAAAAATGGCCAAAAATTACCGACCCGCCCCCCATATTTCTCACCTGGCAAGGCCCTGTGAAGCAGGGCCCTGTACTTGAAGCAGGTCCCCCTAATTTTTGGGACCTTGCTAGTGATTAGAATCTATGCACAACTTCCCTCTAATTACAATTTACTATTACAATATGTACTCTTAATTAATTAATTAATTAATCATAGGGTAGATGAACTGATGAAGCAACTGTATATTATTGCATAAAAAGGTGAGGGGCCGGACCTCGGTTCATTCAATGGAGTTGTACATGCAAAAATGAAAACTCTACACTACATATACTCGATAAAATAAATTAATCGAGTTTGCTGTTATTTTAGGATAATATATATATTATCACGTAAACGAAATTGATTTTAAAAGAGATTTCTATGATGTCGCATATGAGATGCGATGTTCCGATTGAAAATAAGTACTTCACTCGTGTAATATAAACAAGTTAGTAACGACTAAAAATGATTAGAATTGATATTTATCACAGTTAGCTCCTGTTTGGACTTCATTAAAATTTGTTTTTATGGGAAAAAGAATGTGTGGTTAAAAAGAAAAAAATAAATTAAAATTTTAGAGCATTGCTACTTGTATATAATAATATGTACATTAAGGTGTCTACCTCCTCACATGGGGGTGGGGTCCACTTGGAGATAATATTTTTTATTCAAGTAGGTCAGACAAGTTTTTTAAACAGTTAAAAATAGATAAAAATAAGTGGTCGATAAATGGTTAGAACTTGTTGATCTGATCTCTAAGTTAAGAATCTAGTTCATTTTGATGGCAAGACGGAAAAATAATTTGTTGTGATAACATTAAAACAAGTTATTATATTTATAACTGATGATTAAATAAAACATTAACCCACAACCCAATATATAAAATTATATTTCTTGAATATAATCAAAATGGAAAAATCTCTTAAAAGAAAAAAAAAATAGAAAAGTCATTTCAATTCCACCCAAGAATGAATTTTCCCTTTTTTTTTAAGTTAAAAAGAAAGAAGTAAATACAAATTCCAAGATGAATTCATGCACAAACAGTCAAACTTTTTAAAATTTTCCCATCACACGTGGAATCCGAACCCGGTCAAGAACCCGAGTGTGAAAACACCGACTAAATGGGTCGGTCCTCCGGCATTCTGTGCCAACACCAAGAATTGCTTGCATCTCCATATAAGTTAAAAGGGTTGACGGCTGTGTTGTGTGGCCCTCATTCACGGCAAGTTTCCGTTCAATCTCAACCCCCTTTATTTTCTTCAGAACTAGTTGGGCATGGTAATAAAGAATTAACCTAAGTAACGGATGTTCGATACGTTGTACTATTATGATAGACAAGATTACTATTTTTTTTTTTGACAATACTATTCGAATCTACATAACTAGTCAAGCCCACAACGGGAAAAAATGTTTAGGAATAATTTGAATTTAGTTACATTCTAACTCAATAAGCACATCAAACCCTCGTTCGATTTTGCTAAAAATTAGATTTTTAAGTCAATTTTGATTGAAGTTGATAAAAAATTTGTAGTTAAAAATGTTGTGGATCGTATAAAAAATGTGAGTATAATTATTTTTTGAAATTGACTTAAATTTTTACCAATTTTTTTAGCTAAATCAAACATGGGCTATATATTTTTGTACAAATTTTGACTAATATGAGCTTGCCTTCATTCAAATTTGTATAATATCCCAACCCCATAGATGGAATGGGAACATATCATTATTTACATATTCTTTTACAGAACAATGAGGTGACGAATCTGTCAAAATATATTCACTACTTAAACGATTGTGCTTATGTAATGTGAATTAATGATGGGTTTTTTTTTTTTTATTTGGTTGGTAAGATCATGATTTAGTCAAATCTCTCAACGTCACAGTAAGTTGTAATATACATGTAACACAATTTGATAGAATAGTCTTTCTAGATCTTGTTATTACTTTCTTTTGTTTAGATACTCGGAAAGAGCATGGGAAGATCAAGTCGGCTTCGTTAACTAGTTTGAATGGTGAACTAAGTGATCAAACGAATAATTATACGGCCGGATTTGTTAGTTTGAGAAGGTGAATGGTTAGATAGTCGAAGGTCCAAGTAGTGAGCAAATATTTGAATGTCTAGATAAAAAAAACAACAAAAAAGAAAAATGAGAAAGTGTGTTGGGGGTAGGGTGGGGGGAGAAATCGTTTAATGCAAGGAAACAATAGAAAAATCTGCGGGGGGCCAACCTGTTGTCCTAAAAAGCACCTTGCAAAAGTCTATTCACTCTTCACACCTCAAAACCTCAAGAACCAAACCCCCACACTCTATCTCTCTCTCTCTCTCTTTATCTCTCTATATCTACTCCTCTCTCTCTCTCTCTCTCCATCTCTATATCGGTCCATCTATAATAGTGGAGAATAACATCAGATGAAGAATCTGAGCTTTTGATGAACATCTATGGAGAAGAAACAGGAGGAGGAACCAAGAACACAAAACACAAAATTTTCAGATCAGATGATGATTCCTTCAAGCTTTTCTATGACAAATATGTTTGATGATTCCGGCATGTCATGTGAATTTGATCAAAGGGGCTCTTTAGGGTTCTTCGACGCTCAAGATTTCACTAGCCAATCTATTTTCGATTTGATGCAAACACCCTTGCCACCACAGTTTATGCAGCAGCCTCTACCATCACCGGCGGCTGAGTCATCTGAGGTGGTCCACACTCCGGTGACCCCGAATTCATCGTCTTTTTCTTCATCGTCGAACGAAGCTGCTAATGATGATCCACAGATCAAAACTGCTGAAGAAGAAGAACAAGATCAAGACAAGAAACAGTAATATTTTTCTTTTTTTCATTTTGTGTGCTTAAAGTAGTAGAGTTCTCATTTTTTTACGTTTTTTACTTTTACTTTAACAGTCTGAACTTCAAATTGCAACATTCAAAGGAAGATCTTGTTTAATGGGGTTTCTGTGTGCACGATCTGATTAACTGTGGATTTGATACTCATAATTTTGTTCTTTTCCGTAATTCTTATTTTGAGCAAAAAGGGTGATTTTTTATATGTGGCTTTAGGTTAAAACCCAAAAAGAAGAACCAAAAAAGGCAAAGAGAACCCAGATTTGCTTTCATGACAAAGACTGAGGTTGATAACTTGGACGATGGCTATAGATGGAGAAAGTACGGCCAAAAAGCAGTGAAAAATAGCCCTTTTCCAAGGTATATTCACACGAACAAAACAAAAATATATATATTCTTGTGTGTTTGTATCTATATTTCAATTTTCACTTACAAGTAATGATGATTTTGCTTTATTTTAATGAGTTTCTTTTATGGGATCATGCAATATATGTTTGTGCAGGAGCTACTACCGTTGCACTAATTCCTCGTGTGGTGTAAAGAAAAGAGTTGAACGATCATCTGAGGATTCATCCATAGTTGTCACAACCTATGAGGGTACCCACACACACCCGTATCCAATGACACCTCGTGGAAGCTTTGGAATCATGCCGGAAACCGCCACTTTTGGTGTTGGTGGAGGCAGTGGTGGCGGTGGAGGAGGTACTTCCTCTTATATCATCCCACCAGTGCAGCATTATCAACAACAACGACGATCCTATTACCATAGCTTAATGGCACCACCTTCGATGAATTTTAGCAATAATCCTAATTCCTCATTTCATCGAGAAAGAGCATTTCGTCCCTCTTCGTCTTCTTTGATTAGAGATGATGGGCTTCTTCAAGATATGGTGCCATCCCAGATGCTCAAGGATCCAAAGGAGGAGTAAAAAGTGTTAATTACCTTCTATTAATTGGTTTGTGGGATCTATAATAATTAGGGTTCTTGATTACACAATGACTCCTAAATTATGATCTAAAATTGCTAGATTTTTAGCTAATGGATAGACTAGTACTTTCTATGACTAATGTTCTTTTGTTATTTCCTGTACTTAAAAGCTAAAATTTTAATAGTTAAAGAGATTTTGAGTATATACTTTTTGTGTATTTAGTTCCTCCCATTTATTTTTAAGTACTCATTTTTCTCCTTTTTCCTATTCTTTGAGTGCAATGTGTATGCATGCTAGGGTTAGGGTTTCCTCATGTTTGCTGGCAGTTTTCTACTTAAATTCTTCATTTTGGTAACTTCAAGGACTGAATTCTTGAAATCATGAAAAAACTAATGTATGTAGGTTTCAATTAATTTTGTTCCTTAATCAGGGGACTGTGATATACCAATGGAAGGGTGATAAATTTATGATTTGGAACTTGTTTGATGATTTTGATGTTAGAATTGGTGGAAAATATAAGCAGTTTGCTTGGAAGTTGTATGGCGCCAGGGCAATTTGCAAGAATATAGATTATAGTTTGTCTCTGAAGAAACCGAGACCTTTTATCATGAGTACTTCTACTCGTTGCATACTTTCATATACTCGTGCACAAATAGCATTTTCTTGTTTAATGAGTTGGTATTGATGCCCCATCACTAGCTATTTAATCAAGATCAAATGAAATTCAATTTTATAGAGTTATATGAACAATATATTTTTTTTGTTTGATAATTATAACCTCATATTCCAGATATTGTAGGAGTCTATAGCACAAAAATGATTCAAAAGGATTGGTCCCTTCTTGGATCTGTCTTACCTTTTGAGCTAAAATCTTACAGCAAGATTTTGTTAGCTTTAAGAATACTTCTTTAACATTTGTATAAAAGTCCATATAACAATGTCTCACTCAATTTGAATGATGTCTAGAACCTAAAACAGTAGATGAAACGATTCTGCAATTTCTACCTTTTCCCCATCCTTAGTAATGACATATTTTCTAGGACATTTGTACAATACATATATGTATGTATCGCGATTTTTTTTTTTAAAATCATCACCCATTGCCGATTCTGTTGCTAACAAGGGGAAAATTGCCGTTGTTAAAGTCTTTTCTAATATATGGAAGTGTTTTGAGTATACAAGTGGAGTTATACACAACTTTCTACACAATTTGTGTACTTTCCTATGTATCAAAGATATTAACACCAAAATATTGTGCACTTGCACTCTCATTCACACATACAGACACACATCAATGACATATATATAGTGGTATTATGTAATTAGCCGCTTGCACAATATGTGACCCTTGATGTACAAGTAGGATATATATATATATATATATATATATAGTGCTTGTTTTCATTTATAATTTTAGATTAATTTTATGAAAATATATTCGTTATTGGGTCTCACTCTTCTAATAAAAGTCAACAATAACGACTAATTTTTCAATTTTAATCCGAATATCTACCGAACACGCCCACAGAGTTAATCTTTTAAGAACGAATCTCAAAGTATTAAGATGGTATCAAAACTCATTAAACTCCAAAGAGCAATTCGATCTAGATAAGATTAAAAAAAAGCACATGAGTTTTAATATTGATCTGCTCAAATGAGTCACCATCTTGCGGGAGAATATTAAGGAATAAATCTCACATCGATTAAATAGTAAAATATAGATTAAGAGTTTGAATTAGTCTTCATAATAATTCTGACCTATTAAGATGAAATCCAAGTCTTAATATGCACGTCCGCGCATATGTATACGTATAACTTGTAGATTCGTAATAAATGGTATGTGTATTCATTTGTAACGAGCATAAGGAAACCATATAATTATGTGGAACATGGTTTACCTTCTCTATTAATCACTCCATTGAACCCGGAAAAGTGAAATTAAAAAATAAAAATAAAAATGATTTATTAACTCAAATTCTTCATTTGGAGAATTTAGGTGTACAAATTAGGTAATTTCAATAATGCATGTAAGAAAATGACTTTTATCATCATGCATGTACACAAATCATAGGCATCTCCTTTGAACTTGTTGTAAGATATATATAGAGGGCATTACCTAACTTTATATAGGCTGATGGGACCAAACTGACATGTATATGATTAATTTGGCTGAGTAATAAAAAATTGAAAATCAAAAATGTAATATTCGGCCCTATTTGGTTTAGATAAAAATCAAATTTTCAGTAGATTTTGATGAAAGTCGATAGAATGTGTGATTTTAAAATTAATAATTGATTTTAATCAAAATATTTAGTTGTACCAAACACGCGCTCAAGTTATATTATAACTACGAGTCCAGAACTATGTGAAAGGAATCAGAATGAAGAAATTTCATAACTGTAAAGTTACGTGAATAATTTTGTGCATTTCAATATTCTCTGCCAACGCCAATGAAATTATTCACAATAGCTGGAAATTAACAGTTACATTGCACAATATTTCTTTTAGCCGTAGTTGCATTTCACTGTTGAGATTTTCTATCTGATTTTTCATTTGATTAATGATGAGAATACTTGAAGAAAAAAATGTTTACAAGTAAGCTACTGCCAATGGCTTTATCTCAATTTGTCAAAAGTAGATGCCTCTAACGTGATACACAAATCAAATTTGTTTTCTCCATAATCATTCTGCTTCCAGAATGATTAGTCGCACTTAACGAGCGATGCACATTATTAGTTTAACCAGCTCGACTGAATATGCAGCCACGAAACTGCTAAATCCCTCGTGAGATTCTAGTTCCATCAGTCGTGTCAACCTTCATCTAAATCTTGTAAATTTGATATAAACGAGTAATTTACAAACTAAAAATAAATTTCATTTCCAGCACACGATTTTACGATTTAAAACACACTGGTGCGCACATGCCAATACATGAAGTCAACTATAAAGCGCTCACGAGAAAGATTTCCTATCGACAATGTCACCTTTCCACTAGTGAACTTAACAAATTGAACTAACTTTGATTTTAAATTAATAAGGTCATTATACTTTAATTTCATTCAAGATACCTTTCACTTAAATTTCAATAGGGTTTTTGTACTTTAATTTGTGTCAATTTGATCCTACACATAATATTTTAACACCCATATAGGAAGGCCATTAATAGTTAACAACTTGACGTCCATGAAACATTTAACGTTAGTTAACGTCACTGAATTGGATGAACCCATTTGACATGACTTGTGTTTACATTCTGTAAAAGAGCTTCCTCCAGAAGTGCTTTTGGAGAAAATTATCTTAATTTTTGTTTGAAGACTAATTTTTAAAAGCTCTTTTTTTTCCTAGAAGTGCTTTTAGAGAAAAAAAAAACATATTGGACCATCTTCCTATAAAAACTCCACTAACCAGAAGAAATATTTTCATAAATTAATCAAATGAGTCCAAAAGTTACTTTTGAATTTCAAAAGCATCTTTTGACTTTTCAAAAACTATGCAAAATGGGCCCGAAATGATCAAAATTAAACTATAATGACTCAACTGATACAAATTGAAGTAAATTGTAATCCAATTGAAATTTATAAGTGTAGTCGTCTTCTATACAAATTTCTATGCTACTATTGTAACCAATCACGTCAAACTTTCACACCTGCAAATACCCAAAAAAACGATGTAGTTACAAATTTAAAGATAAGTGCAAGACAATTGCACTTCATTCACTATGTGGTGGTGTTTTTGACATCTGCCATTGAAAAACAAAACTAAGTTCATGCTTTCTGTTAGTACTAGACATGATTGGATAGCACAATGAATCAAATTTTAGTGCTATCTAATCCTCTGTACCAAACATATCATATATACTACATGAAAATATTGAAGCAGAGCAGGGATGCATGATGCAAACATGACTGGCAGACAAATTGACTGATGTATAATATACTACAGTACATTTGAGCCACTCTTAATAGTACAAGAGACTGTGTATGAAATGCTTGCTATCACCACTGCAGTAGCTAAGTTGTGGCCAAGGCGTTTATTGTCTTTGGTTGGCACAAATGCAGATTCTAACGTATTATAAGATCAAAAAGCCAGTAAGAGACCTGCAAGAATTTATAAATATGAAGGGAAGAGGTAAGAGCACAGAAGAGGTTATCTTCATGTCCTTTTCAATTCACCATCAAAATATATAATCGAACAAAAAGATGTACACTACCGCGACATATATTGACGTACTGAGCATGAAGTTTAACGAAGGATAATTTGGAATCAAAGAAAGTAATGAGCTGACCATCTGGCACACCAGACCTGCAATTTACATTGTGACGCTTATTATAATTATACATAATCTCCAACCACTAAAAAACTATAAACTATGTTGCACACGCTAAAAGGAAATCTCAAGTATTATCAACACTTAACAGCTTCTTTTATTTGAACAAAATTTACCAAACATGTTACGATAATAAATCATTTAGTAGTTCAAAAATCAAAAGTGTAAATTACAAGTCTCAAAATGAATTTTAAAAACATAATGCAAATTATGACCTCATAACTTGTTTGGCATACCTTAACCATATGTGGATCTGCAAGATATAAGTCTCTAAAGTGACCTTCCCAAGCCATCTATTTATCAAGGGAAATAAATGCCAGGTCAAGCGATCCTTTAAAACAGAATTACACTGTTATTCAGTGGATGTCTAATCATTCCTTGAAGAAAGAATTTACCAATCACGGACTATTTACGCAATAAGTGTCAACATGTAGCTACGGAAATGCTGAGTGATGTTTCGCAAGCTTATGTTTATGCTGATAAAAAAAACGTACAACATAAACCAAGGGTCAAAAGAAAATGTATAGATACCCTGAAATTTTTAATATTTACATTCTAACAACGCAATTAGAGGATATGCGTACGTGATGGGAATCCAAGATGTGTAAGGATGATATTTATTGTAAGTTCGGAAGCTTGTATATATACTCCACCCACAAATATCCAATCTGAA